CTGCTCATGCTATAGAACTGCAGGAGTTCTGAAGGAATTCCTGCCAGACTGGATGCATTTAGAAAGATCACCTGCCCTTTGCTTTCACTCAAGCGACACTCAAGTCTGCATCTTGCTAGCTCTTTGTCAAAGAAAGACAGGCCTGTAGCACTGCTGCATCAACCAATCAAGAACAAATCTGCTCCTGAGAAAGAAAAAACTGTGATTTTTTAAAAGACTGTCATTAGATTAACTAAAATTAAGTGCTCGTCTAACCATTATGCAAACAACAGGCAAGTCCAGTAATGAGGCCAAAGGTAGTGCTGCTCTTGTATTAGTCTTTGGGCTCTTCAAGAACTTTGCCTGGGACTTCGAAACGTCTACCAGGTAAGTGCTTAGCAGCTCACCAGTGGAGACATCTGGCCAAGCCTCTCTGGTCCACAGACCTTCCAAAATGAGCCTGAGACACCTGTGACACCTGGGATGGAAACCTGAGGGTCAGGATGGAAACCCAAATGCAGGCAAAGGTGTATGAGAGGACCTGGATAGAAACCCAAGGGCAAAGACACCAGTGAGGGCCAGGACTTGATGTCTGGGATGGAAGCCTGAGGGAAGGCAGCAGCAGTGTTGTGGCAGACTGAATGCTCAGCAGTCCTGGCAGCAATGACCCTGCTGGGACCCAACCTGTCAGTATTCGTATCACCATTCTGACAACTGCAGAATTTGTGGTGGATTCCTGACAGCCTACAGTGTAAATTAAGTGCTTACCGTAGAAGATACGGTTAATAAAGTAAGAACAGGATAAATGACTGAAATATCAAGAGAATAAAATCTCTGACAAAACTATTGCTGAAGTCCTTCCTACTCTAAATCAGAAGTCATAATTATAGATACTTGACAGTGCCAGGACAAGTGTTCAAAGCCAGGTTGGCTGAGGCCTTGAGCAACCTGGTCTAGTGGGAGGTGTCCCTGCCCATGGCAGGGGGTTGGGACTAGATGATCTGTATGGTCTATTCCAAGCCCTAAAATTCTGTGATTCTATGATATTAGAGGTCAGATGGATGGATGGATGGAGGGGTGGAGACAGAGATATAGATAGATAGACATCATGCGGTCAGTCGTAGATAAATAGATAGATACATAGATAGACAGACAGGCAGACAGACATCACGCAGTCATTTGCAGAGCCAAGTAATCCCCAACCCCAACAGAAGCAAATCAGTGTAGCTTTTAACGCCATATTTAATCCGAGGTTGTGGCAGTCACAGCACAAGGGCTGTACGAAGGAGCTCAGCTGACCCGCACAC